GGGGGGGGAATTTAAAATTCTACATTAAGTCTCCACACGGTGAAAACGGTAATAACTTCTCATTTGTAGCATCAGGGAGCACACGCTGATAGAAAATTGCAGTTATTTTCGGCGCCAAACATATTTTATAGTAGCGGCAACATGCATGTAAGGTTATTATCACTGACATTGTAGCAACACTTAGAAAAACGGTTCTCCTGACGATTTTTGTGGTTGAAATAAAAAGAAGGGTATGTTTAGCGCCGAAAATAACTATAATTTCCTATCGGCGCGACGGTGCTCGTTTGAAAACTTAATGTGGAACTAACTGGACTTAATGTAGAACTAAAATTTCGACTCGGGATCGCTCCCGGTAGTCTCGACCGAGAGTTTTAACACAGCGCCGAATATTCACACGAGTGTTCTCAATCGCAGTAACATCGCGTACCACCTTCTTATCCTTGAGATTTCATCTCCTCTACATCGAGTTTTCTTCCGGTCCCCGATCCAGTCGCAGTAACTGAACATTTTTCTTTCGTGCACGCGTGTTCGAGATCATCGAAATAGACCGCGATATTTTTCGAAGACTTTCGAAAGTTCGGGCCGCGAACGAGGTATGTAACACGACGATGGGCGAGTGTGAGAAACTCTTCCGTCGGTTACGAAATGCGTTCAACAATGGCGCGACGTAAAGGGCCGGTGGGTTGACGCAAGAGCAACGCGTAAATTACACGTGCTGACGGCCGGAGAGCCATTTAGAAAATTAATAGTCTCTCTCTCTTTCTTTTTTTTCCCGCTCAGGCCGCGTAACGTCTCCTCTTTCTGCTCTTCTCGCGCCTAAATCGAACCCTCCGTGATCCCGCGAACGCCTGCTCCGGCATCATCTCGCAGGGGACTCGAAGGGACAAGCTAAAGGGAGTGGAATATCACGTCGACGATTCACACTCGGGGAATTAATAAGAAGCTAGGCGCAGGCGCGCTCGATTTTTATTTCGCGGCCCGAGAACCTGTCTTAAACAGGAAGTAAATGTGCCGGCACTGCCGCACTGGCTGCGAGCGAGGACGCGCGCGAGAGTTAAGGATAGAAGTTAGCGCGAAGTGAGAAGGAAAAGAAAACACAACACCGGGCAAGATCGGCTAAGCGTTAGGCTGATATACGAGATTGAATATCTGTCAGAAATAAAAGAGACCGTGCGGTGAGACGCGAGTACAATTACGCTCGTGATGCTGGCGTGCCGGCAAAGAGGGGGGAGGGGAGGGGGGATACAAGTCGCGGAAAGAGGGACGGCGCGAAGGATACCGGGTTCGATGGGAATTCAACCAAGAATGGAGTCATCGACGGGCGCGACGGCGGCTGCGTAATCGCGCGGATATCGCTTCCGTTTCGCGGCGACACGCCATTCCGACGGAGTAACGAGAGCATCGTGCGAGGCCGATCGCGACAAAGGGAGAAATTCCGCGCGTGTACGACCGAAATGTTAATCGCCGCGAATCGATCACTGTCACTGTGGACCCGTAAAGTACCGGGCGGAACCATCTCTACCGAGTAAGGATGTTCCTCCTTGTACGTCTCTTATTCACGAGTTGTAACGGGTAACACATTCGTAACTCCGGTGTGAATTTGACCTGACGAAGAAAGAACGCACCGGGAGAGAAAGAGAGAGAGAGAGAACGGTCGAAAGAGAGAGAATAATGCGCTTCTCGCCGCGCTTGTCCGACGAAATCTCGAATTGCAAGCAACTCGAGCCCGCCGGCGGACGAAACTCAGCGAACTTGAGGAAACGATTCGCCAATATTTTTCTCCGCGGCTTCAAGTTGCGTGGGCATCTCTCTCTCTCTCTCTCTCCCTCTCTTCCCCTTTCTCTCTCCGGGTCCTCGACGGCCGTTCGGTCCCAGCAAGCCGGCTTTCACAAACACTCGGGCGTCGTTTCGACGAGAACCCGTATACTCGTTGGCGTTTTGACGACGGTGGGAGCAAACGAAGGTGGAACGAAAAATAGGGAAACAAGGTGCGGATGCCCCCTTACCCGTGTCGGGATCCACGGCGAAGCTGCTGTTGGTCTGAACCACCGAGTACCTGAGGAGCGCGTTCTTGCCGATATCAGGGTCGCTGGCGCTCACGGAACCCACCAGAGAACCCGACGGTAGATTCTCGAGAAGTTTGAAACCGTAGAAGTCCTTGTCGAAATGTGGATCGTTGTCGTTGTCGTCCAAGACCTTCACCAGTACGGAGGCGTTCGCGGTCGCCGCGGGAGATCCGTTATCGGACGCGAACACCGTCAGCGTGAGCCGATCGATTGTTTCGCGATCTAAGCTCTGCACAAGGTAGATCCAGCCGGTGTTCGGGTTGATACGAAAGGCGGGCGAGCCCTGAAGACGGTAGCTCACTCTCGCGTTATTCCCCGTGTCCAGATCGACCGCTGTCACCTGAAGAATCTGCAAGCAACAATAGGTTTAGTCAGATAAATGTCAATAACACACATAATAATATCGCGGTTCGACCGAAATATTCATCTCATCTGGCGACGCTAAATTGCACAACTTGAAATGCTCGATTCAACTTTACGTTTGGAAATTCCGAAGCGGTGAGAGCAGAGTGGAATGTAAAGTTCGAGACGGAGAGAACGACGATGAAAATCGAAACAAGAGCAGTCGTGTCATTCGAAGGCATTTCTCGCGATCTCGCAAGAGGAGAGAGAGAGAGAGAGAGAGAACAGGGCAAAAAGACAGGGTAAGGGGTGGCGTCGAGACAAGACCAGTCGATCCGGTCGTTCCGTATTAATTAAACGTATCCAAGGACCGCGAACCCTAAACACGTTCGGGCCAGTCGATGTTTTCCAGCGCGGGAGGATGGTGAATTACGAAGGTCGAAGAGGGAGAAAAGGAGGAAGAAAAACGCGGGATCGGGAGTGTATAAGGTCGCGTCCCGTGCATGAACTCGCGGCTCACTCGAATGATGGATGAAGGTGGTAGACGGTAAAAGCGAAAGAAGAGGACGGAATGTAAGGGGAAGGAGGAGAATGGAGAGAGGGACCGAGACGGCGCGGGACCGGCCTGTCTTGGGTGATGAGGAGGACCAGGGGGATGGACACGAGTTACCATTAGAGAGGAACCTGACGTGGGAGCAGGCAGTAATGTGTCTAACTGTACGTTATTAGTTCACGGCGGGTAAAGGGTTACGCTCACTGCAGCCAAGTTACTCTCTCGCCGGTCCGCGGCAGCACTCTTTCTCGTACTCTCGTCGGTTCCTACCTCTCCATCTTCCTCCCTCTAACGTACACTAGCGGCTGAGATATTGTCCGGATACCACCGACAGCTCACAGATCTGTTTCGCCGATAGATACCACCGATATATACGTGTATACCAGGAGGAAGATGGAACGTAAGATCGAGTAGCGACGGGAGAAGGCGGAGGAGGAAGAGAAAAAGACAGACGGACAGACGCGGAAAGAGAAAGAGAGAGTGTGTGTGTGTGGTGTGTGAGTGAGCGAGCGAATGAGAGAGGGAGAGAAACGCGACGTCGCTCCGCTCTATCGTATCCGCGTGTACGTTGTATTAAAAATGTGACGTCATTTAACGGGCCTATCTCGCGGCGAGGATCTCACCGCCATTCGTCATCGGTATCCTCGTATTCGGGATTACGTCCGCTCTCGTGGCTACCATCACGAGGAAGCGTCGGAGCTATCAGCCGCGCGCACCAATGACGACCCTGTTCCCGGGAATATCGCGGCTAATGACTCTCCCTCCCTCCCGTTTCCTCGACACCGCCGTCGCAAGACCGACCGACCGCCAACCCACTTTGCCCTTCTTTCGATTTTTTGCCGGATAATGACTGATATGTGTAGATAATTACGGGGGCCGTGCGTCGCCGTTGGCGATCTTCGCGGGCCAATCCGCGTTCGCGGGGTCCACGGGTATCGTTTTCTCGAATTCTCTTCGGGCGATCTCTCCCCTCGTACGTGAAACGCTCCGGATGAATTTGGCCAACAGCGGATCGACGCGATTCCGAGAGATACACCGAGGAACTCTCAAATCCGTGCCGCCGAGGCGCCGTCGTTTTCGCAACCGTACGCGAACGCTTGATGAATCACCCATCGCGCTCGGGTAACCGTTGGAACCTGCTCGTGAAATGATCAGCCGCGCGTGTACCGCGCGCACCCGCGGCTATATCGACTGTTACCTATCAATCCTAGACGGCCGGACCTCGTGGCCGCTCGCAATCGGTATCAGCGGCAACATGCCACGTCCGGATATCAGATTATCAGGCATTCCCTATCCATCTCCCGCTCTCGAACTGGTATACGTCGAGTAACCTCGCGGAGCACATCGGGCTAATCTCGCGCGGCGCGATGCTACGTCCAGTTAATTCGTTCCTAGTCGGCCGCGCGGTTAATTCTCTCTTTGCCTCGCAAGGTGAACTTCGCGAGTCAACATCTTCTTCTTCTTCTTCTTCTCCTCCTCCTCCTCTATCTTCCTCTTCTGCTTCTCGAAGCTACCCGGAAGGGGGAGGGTGTCTGGTAGCAGCGGCGTACGCCTCGCGATGCGAGAGGGAGCAAAGGTTCACGGGCGCGTTCTTCCTGGTTGTCCCGGATAAAATTACGCATCCCAGAGACGGCGAGACTCTCTGTCTCTCTCTTTCTCTCACACTCACTCGCGGTAAGCAAAACGAAGCGGCCGGTCGGGGAAAAAGGGAACGATCGGCACGAAGAAGAAATACCGATCAAGAGCGAAAGAAAGGCAGAAGTGAGGTTGTTAACTTGTACCGCTCCCCTCCGCGACCCAGAATTTCTCCCGCTCTTTGGCTCGCTCTAACGTACGCGAACATACGCGCATACACGAGAGAGAAAAAGAGAAAGACCGGCTGTGAACTTTCTCTCTCTCTCTCTCTCGAAGAACCCTACCGCATCACCTCGACAAACAAATGCCCGCGTGACGGGCGTGTAATGAAGATTTTTCTCACCTGGGAATCGAGCTTGGCGCCTTCGGGAACCTCCACGTGATACTCGTTCCTCTCGAACCTTGGGGGGTTGTCATTCACGTCCTGCACCTCGACGCTCAGACTGAGGTTCGCCGAGAGCCCAGCGCCGTCCAAAGCCCTTATCAGGAGGCCGTGCCTCTGCTGGGTCTCGTAATCCAATCGCCTCGCCAAATAGAGCTCGCCGGAGCGCGCGTCTATCCCGAAGAGATCGTTGCTGTTTTGAGCGAGGACGTAACGTATCGGCGTCGATGGCGTGGTGTCCGGGTCGGTGGCGTGCGCCACGTACAAGGGCACGTGGAGCGGATGCGACTCCGGCACGGAGATACGGACGCTGGTCGTGCCGAATGCCGGGGTATTGTCGTTCACGTCCTCCACGATCAGCTCCAGCTGTGACAGAAAGAGAACGTTACGTCGCGCCGCGTCAACGGATGAGAGCGATTTCACGAGAGCTTCCTCGAACCACCGCTAACTTGTTGACCGCGGAATAGTCGGCATCCGCCGAATGGTCGCTCCTATCGAAAGACTAATCTGTTAATGAGCGCGCGTTGCGTGGAATATTAATACCGATATTCGCGAGCGCAAAAATCGAGAACTTTCCGCACAGCCGGAATATTATATGTGCACGTGGGATAAATACCGAGAACGCGGATAAATGTCCGCCCGGTGATTACAGTGAGTTAATACCGAGACGATGATTATCCGAAGGATATGCAATTTACCTGGCAATAGCCAACGAAGCCGCCATTACGTGCCTCGACGCTGAGAACGTATTTGTCGCGTGATTCCCGATCGAGCGGCTGTCGAATCCTCAGCGTCCCCGTGGTGGGATCCAACGAGAGATCCGCTTCCTCTGCCGTCAGATAAAACTTGCTCGGCCGTTCGCCTGGGAATGCAAAATACATAATTTAAATAATACATACAGATATACACACATACATCAGATATATAAATAAGGCGGGGAAAATGAACCGAACTGTTCAAACGGCGAGAGGAGAAACGGCGCGCGTAGCATTAATTTATTCATAATAAGTTTCGTCGTGTGCGCACGCCTCGTGTTCAATGCGTGGGCTAATTAAAGCGGTTGTTTCGGAATAATCTCGATAAATAATGACGTCGACGTACATCTCTCCGGCATCAAAAAGCGTAACTCTCTATCTCCGGTTGCATTTGCATGAGGAGCCGCATTATCGCAACTTAGTTTTCGTAATGGTCTGCAGCTTGCCAGACGCATTCATACCCGCGGCTTGATCGACGTGAGTTGCTATTAAATCACGATGTTTACATCGTGTTCGCGGCTAAAGCGGAGGGAGATCGATAGCCGCGCTCGGAGTCACACACTTGCACGCGACTTGTGTTTCTCATCCGTCGGTCTTTTATAAACTTCTAATGAAGACGTCAGCTCGATTTGCACCTGCGATACCGCGACGACGTCGTATCGTTCGCCGTATGCGAAACGCGCGTAACGATCACCGGGATAAAGGTATTATGCATCTCCGGGACGCGGTGCGACATCAAAGAGGTCTCAGCAAACAAACGAGATACATATTTCAGGGGGAACGGTCCACCGGGGGAATCCGGCGCCTGACCTCGGCGTCGATATAACAGTCGGTCGCTTCACGTGTTACCTCGACCCGCCTAATTAGAGGCGAACGTTAAAAGCGACGTCTCTCGCTCCGCGCGCTCCCCTTTCAGCTAGCTCGCCGGTCAACGAGCGCGCCCGCGAATTTATTCTCCGTTAAAATTCCGCCGGCATCGGACCGCTCGTAAAAGCCGGGGCCTAGCCGAGGTCCTGCCAGTCGATTCCTGCGCTAAGCAGATCTCCCGGGCGAGAGCTGTCGCGCGTCGCTGAGATCTCATTCGTCACGGTCGCGATCGGCCAGCGCGCTCCTCCGATCGGCGGCACGATCTTACGCCGAGTAGCACTGCGGCGCACACGCGAAACCGCCTGTGTGTATGTGTGTCGTCCGTACCAGACACGATAATACGAGTTTCGTTCACCGGGTAGAACGAAGGAACGGGCACGCGCACACGAACGGGCATCGACGAATGAATGATGGCGGTTTATCGATTCCACGACATCGACCTCGCTCGACCTCCTCGCACGAGTCGGACCGCCCGGTCCCGCTGCTTCGGAATCAATTAATAGCCAAATTGGCCGGTCATTACCGCTGGCAGATGCAATTCCGTGATGAACGATTCGAGCGCCGGCCCGGTGCATGTTTCTCGCATAACGAGTGCCGTTGGCCGTCCGCCCACGTCCGGCACGCCAAGAACCGTAAGGATTCTGCACGTTGTTGCGGAAAACAAAGCTGCGGAATGATTCGCACCTACGGGGAAAATCGAAAGGAGAGAGTCTCGTCGGGAAGAGACGCAACGTGTCCCGGTTGTGTCTCTGGTGTTTCGGTTCGGCGGGATGATGATGACGTCTAATTTGACAGCTTATTTCGGGCGGGGAAAGGTCGAAGTCATTAGTTCGCCGATATCGAGTTAGAGACGAATCATTAACGCACACGCACGTCGTGCGCCGGACGTGAGGAGGGTCTCAATCAAATCGATGCACAAAAGTGTTTTTCAGTGTACCCTCGTAAACGGCAATTAATAGTTTTATTGATGACGCCTGGAAGCCAATTCATCGGCGATTCATCAGGATGTGTACCTTCCGCGTTATCCGACGTCGCCGTGAAAACACGGTCGCGCGGCCACGTCCAATTATAGACAAGCGCGCACAGCACGCGCACCGATAATTGCTCTGACCGATCGATCAAACGAACGATCGATCGGTCGGTTCGTCGGTCGCACGCAGCCAAAACGGGAGTTACAACTGCTCGGCCCCTACCGGACATATCCTTCCTAGATGCGTTTCGACAAATCCCGCGCGGATCTACCGCGACGCGAGGCTCTCCCATCGGTCCCGGTCGAGTTTTTCCCGCGACGCAACAGGAGAAACCGGGCAGAAGAGGGGGGAACCGAGCGGAGGAGAAATCGTCGCGTCTGCGAGTTGCACTGAGAGAGGAATATCGCTATTTTCGGGGACCACAATATCCTTTTTTCATTTCAACCACAGAAATAGGTCGAGAGGACTATTTTTCTAGCGAATGTTACTATAGCGTTAATGACGATAATCTTACGTACATGTTATCGCTACTATTTTTGTGGTTAAAATAAAAAAAGAAGGATATCGTCGTTCCCGAAAATAACTATATTTTTCTCTCAATATGTCCTGAGAGACGTGGGTTACTCCATTTCTACAATACTCCGCGCCGAATAAAGAATTTCATAACAATTACCACAATTTGATTACCGCAACCAAATCATTTTTAGTATCACATACCGTGTACAGTATACGGTGCTGCAATACATGATATTATAATAGATGATTTGGTTGCAGTAACCAAGCAATTGAATTGATACTACTTAACCAAATCTCGGTAATCGTCGCTAAATCCTTTTTTCAGTGCACGACGTCTGTGCCGTCATCGCCGTCGTCACGCGAGATAGTCGTCGACGACGCCCATGTCCTCCATGTCGTCGGTGACATCGGGTGACATCGACCGTTCGACCAGTGCCTTAAAGATGGTACTCGGTCGCGTACGCGGCCGGCATAATTTATCGCCGCTATTTATACTCGATCCAGCTCGCTCGTCCTTTTCCCCGGTTTCCCCTTTCGCGTCGCGACGCACGCGACAGTGTATGGCGTGGGCATACACTGTGACACCCATAGCACACGGATAACGGCGCGAACGCTGGGAGTGATGTCAGCGGTGCGTATCTTCCGAGCTGGTCTCTCGCTTCGATCTCGCGAATTAAGAGAAAATCGAAGCTCGATCGTCGCGCAGGCCCCTTCGACTCTCTCGAGTGCCGAATAACTCCGCGAGCCTTTTGCGAGCCCTCGAGCATCGATACCGATCCTCATCACCCACCCAGTTTGTTTTGCGGTGCCAGAAAAGGTTGCCCGGTCAGACACCCGGTCAGACACCTTGTATGTGTATACATTTGCACGCTCACCAGCCTCGCACGTCCGCGCCGAAGGTGCGCGTATACACGCACACACACTCGCTCGGATCGGCTCATTCGTAAAATGTATAAGCGCAGGATGAAACACTGCAGTTGCGTGAACGTATACGCGCAGCGCGTGTGTAATTACGCGTATGCGTTTGTACGAAGCGAGCGAGCGAAAGAGAGAGAAAGAGAGACTGGTCTGGAAGACGTACACGTTTTATATCCCGGCGATACCTCTACCCATCAGCATTCGGTACCCGTGTTATTAAACGTCCGCGTGATCTTTTTCCATGGACTCTCGCCGCGAGAGGAGGGTCCGCCGATCCTGTACTACTCCCCGTATATAATTACGATTTACTCCGCATCCCGATACGCCGAGATACCGCTCGAATATCCGCCCGTGCAAAAGGATTTCGACGCGCGACTTCGGAGGGGTATGACACGCCGGACAAATCTGTTGTCCCTTCCCCACCCTCCTCCCGCCCCCCCCCGTAAGCCACCGTGGCGGGGCTTAAAGTTAGCCATTAAGGTACGCGACAACGCGCAACGGCGATAAATCTTCGGGAATAATAAAATTAAGGCGCGCGCAAATCGCGCGTTCTTCGCGAAAACACCGTGTCGCGCCGTTTAATTCTCGCCGTTGAGTAAACACACTCGCGTGGAGAGATCGAGGGACTCATGCTCGCTCTGACGATGAATAATTGCAAGGAAGAAGCGTCGATGCCTATCCATACGCGCGGAGCAAAGTGAGCTTGCAATCTCTCTGAAGTGCAATCAGTGTATTATCACTGAGAAGCAATTAATAGTCACCGGTGGTCGTGGTGTTATAAATATAGCGCCGCGAATCAGCAGTATTTCGATGCAAAAGTGTGTTCATGCACACGTAGCAGGCGGCTGTTTCCATCAGGGATGTCCAATTGTAGAAACAGTGTAGAAAAAATATTTATTCTTTCTTTTTTGTCATCTTAATTACGTTTTTACGGCGCTGTCAATGATTTTATCTGAAATATTCTTAATTCATTTTAATGTTTAATTCATTGAATTTATATCGTATTTGAGAAACACGTTTATCCTGACTCGAAACCTTCGGCGGCTCTTGGAGTCTCCTACCATATGAACTACGCCAAATACAATATATGACTGAGTGTATATATATGTACATATATTTCTGCCACGGGACGCGTAACAGCGATTCGCAATGAATGTTTCACTGCAAATCAGCGAAGTGTAAGAAAAAAGGGCCAAGTGGAAGTGGCTGCGCTAAAAATCGATGAATGCTCACTGATTGCCGGTAAAATACCGCTTTACTCATTTCAATCGGTGACATTTTCACTGACTCAAGAGAGATAGCGAAACACGAGGAGACATTTCTCTGGTCACGAAAGTCGCGAGTCGCGGAAGAAGTGAAATTCGCCTCGGCGTGGATAAATCTTGCGATTCATTTCGAAAGTTGCCGAGTCCGATAAGTAGTTGAAGCCTGCCGAAAAACGAGTCTGCCTTCATCGCGCTATTTCCTATCGCGAGTGGCCCTTCCCTTCGAAACGATCGCGTCGCGCAAGGTGCATGTGCGGCACGATCGTGCGTTTTTCTCCCGCAGTGCCGGTTCGCGAGGGCTTCGTCACCCCGGTTACACACGCGTCCCTCCGGGATGCCCACGTGGGTGTAACGAAGACAAATCGCTCGCGTATTTGATTAATTCGCAGAGATCGCCGGTCCAGCGCGGACCCTCTCTTCCCCCTCCTCCTCCTGCTCCGTCTCGCATCTTTCGTCCTCCGGCATCGTGAATCGAATCGAGAGCGAGTTTTTGCCGGCGAGGCAGAGGCAAGGAAGAAACCCGTAACGTACTCATTACTGATTCTCGCCCTTATGCGTTCTCGGCACGAA